TGTCCGGCCCGTGGCGGCCGGCATCCCGGGAGTTGGTGGAGTGGTACCTGGCGTCGGCGTTGTCCCAGGAGTCGGAGGTGAGGCGATGGTGGGGCTTGGCCCTGGGGCTCAGGGAGGGTCACCTCCCCCCCGACCTGCACCCCTGACTCTCTCCTGCTACCCCGGCAGTTGGAGGGCCGGCAGCGGCAGCAGCGGCGGAGCAGCAAAGGCAGCAGCGAAAGCAGGAGCTTTCGGTGAGTTCCCTGCTGTCTCGGACAGATCCGGCAGCTGCCTGTGGGGCTGGGCTCACTCTTGGGGCGCAGAAGAGCTGTGCATTGGTGCCAGGGCTGCACAGCCTCACCGCCTGCCCCACCACCCCCTGTCACTTCTCCTGGGGTGCTCTCCCAGCCCCAGACCCCTGCCCTAGCTCCAGTGGCTCCTTGCCAGAGCTTGAGGTGAGGTGAAGCCACTCTGTTGAGCCAGGGCAGCTGCCTGTGGGGCTGGGCTCACTCTTGGGGCGCAGAAGAGCTGTGCATTGGTGCCAGGGCTGCACAGCCTCACCGCCTGCCCCACCACCCCCTGTCACTTCTCCTGGGGTGCTCTCCCAGCCCCAGACCCCTGCCCTAGCTCCAGTGGCTCCTTGCCAGAGCTTGAGGTGAGGTGAAGCCACTCTGTTGAGCCAGCAGCTTTTGCAGGTGGGAGGCAGCAAGGTGTGAAAACTCCCTCAAGGCTGCAGAGGGGCTTTATGCCCTTGGGGGCAGCTTCCAGCAGCCTGTTGGGAGAGCTGGGCTTGGGCATAGCAAAGCCTGAGTTTGCAAAAAGCAGCTTTTTCAGTAGTGATTGGAGGGCTGGCTGGCCACCTCGCAATGCAGCAGCTCAACACAGGACAGTACGTCCCCATCATGCATGGTTTCTCCATAACAGATGTGGTTTTGCTGTACTGGGCTCCAGCAGGGTGTCCGGGGAGACAGTGTCTGTAATGAGCCATCATTTGTTAGTGGAGGGATGTGCTTAGTGATGCAGATCTCATGTTCACTGCTCCCCTTGTTGGCTGTTTTGTGGGAGGAAAGTGAGTAGCAAACGACCACTCATTGGAGCATCCAGAAGACATGCGTCAGCCCTGGGAGCAGCTGGGATTTACAACCATGGCCTTAGGGGACCTTGGGCATCCCCAAGCTGCTGGGTGGCCAGGTGGGCTCCAGACCCTGGGTTGGGTGTAGGGAGCTGGGAATCCCAATCCTGGGAGCATCCCAGGTCCCCTGAGCAGCTGGTCTGGGAGGTGTGGAGAGCCCACCTAAAAGCCAGGTGCCCTCGAGCCTTTCATGACACTGAGGGAGACCATGTCCCCACCAGTGGCATTTGACTGCTCTGCTTCCCTCCAGGTCCAGGGGTGCTGCCCGGCGTTGGCGGTGTCCCAGGCCTCGTGCCCGGCATTGGCGGTGTCCCTGGCTTGGTGCCCGGTGTTGGAGGTGTCCCCGGGGTGGCAGGTGACTGTTCCCAGGAGCCCTGTCCCCACCACCTGGCTCTGCGGAAGGTGTTGGGGCTGGTGGCTGAGGGTGCCTCTCTTCCTTGTCCCCAGGAGTCGGGACACCAGCAGCAGCAGCAGCAGCAAAGGCAGCTAAGTATGGTACGTGCTGCGCGGTGCAAGGAGCTCCCCAGCAGCTCCCTGGGGACCCCTGCTGATCCTCTCCACCCGTGGCACTCAGGGTGCCCCCAGGCAGCCGGGTCTCCCCTGGGGATCACTCCTGATGGCTCATTATGGAGAAGCATCCAGGGACGGGATGTGCCCAGTCCAGCTCCCAGCTGCTGCATCTGGGATTGGCTTCATCCCCAGGGCAGGACCTTCTCCCTCTCTGAGGTTTCTGCAGGCTGCTTCATGGAGGTGAACGGATGAGACTGAACTTGTGTCTTTGGACCTCGTCTGAATTCTTGCATTTTGTACCAAATCAATTTTTCCATCAGCAGACCTGACCCAGGGTCTGGTGCCTGCAGGCTCAGCCTCACTGCCCAGGTGGGCAGAGATCGCTGGCAGAGGGACCCCTGCCCAGGTTCACTGCCTTCCAAAAACTTGGTGAAATCCAGCAAGTGCATCCAACTTGGTCTACCAAGGCCCAGGTGCTCAGCAGACATAACCACCCCCAAGGGAGCTCCAGCAAGGAGGAACCCAGAGGGGATGAGGGACATGGCCAAGCAGCAGTGAAGCTAGGAGCCCAGGTGCAGAGAGAAGGCAGAAGTGGTCCTGAGGCTCCATGCAGGGCTGGGGGATCCATGTGCTGCTCCAAAAGGCAGTGCCAGAGGTTACATGGCCAGGTCCCAGGACCTTCTCCTGCATCATCACTGCAGAGACCTGGGAGTACCTTGGGAGCAGCCATGCTCGATGGCAGCTTTCCTTTGAGGGCTAAACTATTGCTGGCCATTTCTTCCATTTCTCTTCCACATCATGTAGAAAAAAATCCCACTACGTGCCCAGGGAAGGATGGGACTTAGGGAGAAACTTGGCAGCAACAAGTTAATGGGTGTGTGCTCTGTGCTGGGGTGCCAGGCACCTGTTGAGCAGGGGGCCATGAGGACAACCCTTCTGGCATTCAGCCCTTCCAGAAGTGACCTGATGCTTGTCCCTGTGGCACTAACGAGTGCCAGCGGGTCAAGGCTGTCACATGTCTGGGCAGCTTCCCAGTCTGGCCAGTGCCCAGGGCACCCAGCCCTTCTAGACTGGGGACCACCAACCACTTTTCCTCTGTGGCCTGTTTGGCTGCAAGGCTTGATGTCACCATGATGAGGACCATCTGGAGTCCCCCACGATGACGAGGATTACCATGGTCCCCTGTGCTGGTGACTTCCCAGCCTCTCTTTTACAACAGCAGATTTACCATCCCTGCTGGGGCCTATTGGGAGACACGGGGCCAGTCCCTCCCTTGCACCACTGCGCATCTCTCCTGGGATGAGGTGGTGGGGTGCTCTCTTCACCATGGCACGATGATGAGAGCAGACCTATGATGAGGTCCCACCTTTCAACTGTTGCTTCAACGAGATCTAACTTCTCTCTTGTTGCCTGCAGGAGCTGGTGTTGGTGTTCCTGGCATTGGTGGTGTTCCTGGTGTTCCTGGCATCCCTGGTGTCCCCGGCGTGCCTGGCGTGGCTGGGGTTCCTGGCGTGGTGCCCGGTGTTGGAGGTGAGCAGATGGGCTGGCATGAGCTGATGGGGTGGTGCTGGCCTCACCGGTCGCCTGACTCTCTCCCTTCTGTCCCTGCAGTGGGTGGCCCAGAAGCTGCAGCAGCTGCGGCGAAGGCTGCAGCGAAAGCCGCAGCATTTGGTGAGTCACTGTCATCCTTTCCCAGGGAGGGAGGAGGGACGCTTGCAAATGGGCAGGGTGGGGGGCAGCCCTGGT